CCTGGAAAGGGTTAAACTGGGTGACTCCTTGGAGGCAAGGATTCTGAGGCTCTGTCTAACATACTTTGGACATGTTGTGAGGAGAGAGACCAGTCCTTGGAGAAGGACATCAGTGCTTGGGAGGGTGGAGGGACAGCGCAGGAGGGGAAGGCCGTCTATGAGGTGGATTGATTCAATGACTGGGATAATCGGGATGGGAGTGTCAGAGACGGTGCGATTGGCACAGGGCAGAGCAGAGTTTAGGGCTGTTGTACATAGGGTAGCCATGAGTCACAAGCGACTTGACGGCACATAACAACAACAACATAATCCTCTATAATACAACTTTATAGCATAAATATATAGGGTTGTTTGGGATTTTTAAAAAACAAAGCCCATTACTATGCTGTTCAGATTTTCTTCTGTATTGACCAATAATGGCAGTTACTAATAGGTATAGTTAATCCAAACTCCAAAATACCCTTACATGGATATTTAACTTAAAAAGTAAAGTTTTATTAAAAATTCCTTGTTATACAAAAGTGGATGAGCTTAATTATCTATTGCTGTATAATAAATCACTTTAAAAAGTAGTCACTTAAAATAACAAACCTTGTTTCTGAGTCTTTGGATCTTTGGTAGTTTTGACTTGTGATCAATTTTAACAGATTTACCATACTGAAAAAAAATGCCATAGCATATGTATAACAATAGGAGATAAGATAATAATAGAAAAACTGTTCAGAGGAGGAGGGAATTGATGGACATATTGTATTTTGAGCATAATTTTTGGACACATAAAATTGCATGCCTTAGAACAAAGGTGGGCCCAAATTCATGAACCAGCCATTCATTTCAGAAGTAGATCATAGAAAGAAAAGAAACTAAAATCAAAGATCAGAGGAAAAGAAAAATAAACAGAAATTTATATAACACCAACTTTCAGGAAAGAATATTTGACAGATTTTAAGAAAATCTAATAAAACTGATGAACTTCTTATGGGGCTGATAAGGGATTTCTAAAAATTCAAAATCAAGAATGCAAATGAGAGCATAAGTGATGAAGACATTAAACATATCAGAAGATATAGTTTATGCCAGTACCTTTGAGGTTTTGGGTGAAATAGAGAATCCTTCAATACAAGAAAAAATAGAATTCTAGTACTAAGACCCTAAGTGTGGGAAAGATGCAGCTGTCTGCTTCTGTAAAGCTTTAAAACCCTGGGAACCCAATGAAGGAGCTCTGTTCAGCCCTTTAGGGATGCTGTGAGTCGGAACTGACAGCGGTGACTGTAACCAGTAAAGACAGTTGAACTACTTGAAAGCCTTCCCACAAGAAAACTTAATTTAGCTTCATTAGTGAAAATTCTAATCTTGAAAACTTCTCCCAGAGAATGGAAGCAAAAGAAACACTCCTTGTCAAGTTTTATGAGATTAGCATAACCTTAGTATGAAACCTAACAGTTTAAGAGGGAAATTACAAGCAGAATCCCTGTGGATGTAGTTGCAGAAACGCTTAGTGGGGATAAAGTGGAGTGTGTCCATTCCTCCAATGCCCACCGCACTAAGTGGTTTTTAATAAAACCTGGACAGGATTCATGAAGTAGCGAGTTGAGGACTTTGAAAAGCAAACAGTGGCAAGTGAATTGAGGAAGAAGATGAGACTATGAATCACTAAACTGATGTGAATTTACCATTTTATATCCACTAGTCATAGGCAGTTTGTCTCCACGATGGTCGCAGGACAGCTATGGCAGTCCACAGCAGAGTGGGTTTAATAGAGCACTAGCTTTCTAGCCAGAGAACCAAAAAGGGAAACCCTAGAAACGAAGTTGTGCAAAAAGGATAATGGAGAAGGAGGATTGTGGAAAAGTGACTCCTCAGAATTCCTTATAAACTGCCAGATTCAGTCTCATCTATGTGTAGTTGATCGAACAGCTAATCAGCATCCAAGACTATGAAATTGAATTTATCATCATCCATATTTGGTATTGGCCACTAGGTGGCAGCCAAAACGAGCCAGTTCAGACTCTGTGCCCTGGACGCAGACTCAGATCGGAATACCTCTGCCTGAAGTAGACTTCTAGTTGATACCATTTTTACCCATAGCAGCTATATAGGACAGAATAGTATTGCCCCACGGGGTATTCATGACTTTAAATCTTTATGAAAGCAGACTACCACATCTTTCTCCCTTAAAACGACTGGTGGTTTCAAACTACTGACTGGTAAGCAGCTTTAACCATTGTGAACCACTGTGAAGGCATCAGCACCACTGCAAAGTCTTTGATAACTGAAATGGAACTGTAACCAAATTCCATAAAAGGTAGTTGTAAATTATGACAAACATAAATTATGAATCTAATTAGATTAATTATTGCATGCAAAACCAAAAATATCAGCATTCTCCATAGAGTTTGAATAAGCCTGAGTTTCATAATACTTGAAATATTTTGAGACAATCTAGAATTACTGGTAGAGGCAGATCACAGATTACAAGAGTCCAGTTCCTAAGTCTGTAAGTCAGATTTGTATGTAAATCAGAAAAGTTAGGTATGGTTCATATAAAAAAATTAAATACTTCCTGATAAACTAATAAGATTTTATGTATATCACAAAGTAGTGTTCATTTGATGTTGAGCCATTGTATGTAATGTGACTTTTTAATAAGTTCAAGTGTTTAGCTATAACTACAGGTTATATATAAATTGGGCCTTTGTAACGCTGGGATTATCTGTATAAGACCAGGAAAATGTCAAATCTCCCACATACCATACCAAAATGGAGTTTATGTCAGGATGCAAGACTGTTCAGTATTTTAAAAATAAATCTGTAGAATAGTTTACGTTAATCTAAAAAAAAGAAAAAATTCTATAAATTGATGTAGAAAAAAACACTTGACAAAATTCAAGAAAAACTCTCAATAAGGTAGAAATAGAACAAAACTTCCCCAGCTAATAAAGGGAATCTGTGGAAAACCTAAGAGCATATTATAAGGCTGTACTGTAAAGCCCCAGGAACGTGTCCTTAACCTTACCCTGTTTTTCCTTTTCTAAAAAGTATTCTATAGAATTTTAATAAATGCCAGAAACTATGCTAGATATTTTATAGTATTAACTCATTTAAACTTCATGATCATCTCATAATGTAAGCAAACTTATTATCATTTTTCTTTCTTTTTTTTACAGATAAGGAAACTAAGGGGAGCTCTGGTGGCCTAGTGGCAAGAAGCTGCAACTACAATCCCAGAGGTGCACGGTTCGAATCCACCACATGCTCTGCCGGGGAAGGAGGGGCAATCTCCTCCTGTACCAGTCAGATCTGATTTGACGGTACACGCACACAAAAATAATAAAATAAAAAACAAACAAACAAACAAAAACAGATAAGGAAACTAAGAGACAGAGATATGAAGTAATTTCCCCAGAATTCCTCAGTAAGTATATTCAGACAGGCCATCTAGCCACAGATTCCATGCCCTGAACTGTTAGACTGTCTTGTCCGTTTTACCCTATTATGCGGCCTTGTCAGCAATTAAGATTCACCCCTCCCCATTACTGGTATCTCTTCTACCTAATACCTCAGACTTCATATTCCTAGACTAAGGTCTCTAGGACTTGTTGCCTTTACCGGAAGCCTTTTACGTATCCCAGTTCTGCAAATGACAAATGAGCATACCATAGCTGCATATGGTCAAATGTAATGAACTGTCTCTCCTCTATTTCCTCTGTCCTCATCCCTAAGCCTTATCCATGCTGCTTTCCCCCTCCTCAGTCCATGGCCTGGATTCTACCCTCCTCTGCCTCCCTGAGAAACTAGAGAGAAGTAGGTGTTGGATGAGCTTGAGACTTCACAACTCCAAGAAGGTGTTTTTCCTGTCAGGACAAAATAGAGGCTTTGCAAGCATCACCTTGACCAGTCCGCTCAATCCCACCTACCAGGGACTCCATTCAAGCCTCTTCTTGATATTTTCACCAAAGTAGTCCTAGATTTCCACCCACTGGGAGCAGCCCAGGCCCAGCATTTCCATCATGCCCTTCATGGCCATACATTGGAAGACTAAGAAGAAACCAACAGGCTGTCTTCCTCTTTCTCATTAAATTGTGAATAATAGTGCATTTACTTATTCTCCCACATAAACAGCTGTTTAAACCCTTTGAAGAATCTTGCAAGGTAACTTGGCTACACAGCAGGCAGGACAGTCCAGTGCCTCTGGTGGGGGGGCCAGGGTCTTCCACTCGCCTATCTTTTGGTCTAGCAAGTAGGCATTTGGGTTGATGGTGTAGTCTTTTGTCTGGGCATCACCAGCTGTGGTTATACCTCCACATACAAACACTTTGTTGTCCCCAATGGAGCATATAGCATGGGACATGTCCAGAGGGCAGCTGTTGGGCAAAAGAGGCACTGTGGTCGTCATCTTGCTGCCCTTTATCTTCTGCAAGTTGATTTCTATGCTCTGCCGGTGACTGTGCACACAGAGGATGTTGTCTTGATGCCAAGAGAGCAGGGGCCGGTGGTTGAACTCAATGGGGAAGGTGAAGCACTGCACCACGTCTCCAGTGCTGGTATCAAAACAGTCCACGACCCCCACCCGAGAGATCTCGCCCTTCACCAGGCAGCGCCCAGTGACAATGTACATGTTCCGGTCACCTTTGGTGATCACAGCTGTGCTGTCCATCGGGATGCTCATCTTGCCCGCCAGGCACCAGGCCTCCTTGTGGTCATCATACCGGTAAATGTTGGAGACATACCTCCTTGGGGCAATGCTCCCACCCACCGAATACACAGTCCCCGCACAGGTCACCATGGTGTGGAAGACCAGCCCAATGGGCAGGTCAGGCAGTTTGGTCCAAGAGTTGTCATCCATGTCATACCGCCAGGCTGTCTTCAGCCCTGAAATCTGCTCACTGGTGCCCCCGGAGATGTAGATGTAGCGGCCAGCAGAGGTGGCACTAAGAGCTGCAGCCCGGTAGGGCATCTCCGAGAGCTTCAACCACATGTCCTCCTGGATAATATAAGCAAACACTCCGTCATTAAACTTGCCATGGGCCTTCTGGCCACCGAGTATGACCACTGAATCGAGCAGGGCCCCTTTCCGCTGGTGGCTCAACAGGGTGCATGGCCGCTCCTGCTTGCGGTCCATCAGGACACTCTCAATTAGGGCTGCCTGGGCTGAGTTGTTCTCCAAGCCCATCAATTTATTGCTGGCGAACATCAGCGCCTTGCTGGACACGGCACTGAGATTGATGTAGCTGAAGAATTTCTTGAAATACTTCTCCCGCTCTTCCTTCCGGAAGTACACCCAGTTGATGAGTGTGCTGAGCGCCTGGTCCTCGTTGAGCACATGCAGGTTCTCGTCTCGGAGCAGGCGTCCGAAGATGATGGGTGGGCAGCGCATGAAGTGCACGCAGCCCTCAGGGCTGGCCCAGTAGTGGAAATTGTCGCGAATGCCGGAGTAGGCCAAGTCTGACACCTCTTTGAGTTCAAATAGCTCAGCCAAGAAGAGGTAGTGCAAGCAGTTGGCACGCCGGATGGACTTAATCAGGAAGTCGTTGCAGTGGATGCGAAGGCGGGGTGTGTTGAAATACTGGGCCCCACGAAGCAGCTCCTCCACATTCTGCTCCGAGATCACCACCTTGCCACTGTAGAAATAGTCCAGGAGCTGGTCCACTGTGGCTGGGCTCAGATAGTTGGGGGAAATGGTGATAAAGAGCTCATCAGTGGTCTTCATATCATTGCTGGAGATGAAGCTCTTGACCAGTGGAGAGACAGCAGCCAGGACGTTCCGATGTGCAAAGAAGACATGGTGGTCAACAGTCAGGGCCATGTCCCAGTACTCCTTGAGTTTCCTCTGTTTGTTCAGGTTCTGCAGCACGAAACTGTTGTAGTTTTTCTCAGTGAACTCCAATTTCATGGTGCTTCTTGCTGGCTGAGGCGGAAGCTCAGCACCAAGTACTGGAGGCCAAAACTTTTGCAGGCCTTGTGATTCAGACTGATGGTTATTTAAGGGCAGTTGACCAGGGGCAGTGGGAGTGGGGAAGAGGATGATGTCATAGAGTGGATGAGGTCATAACAATGCAAGACCCACTGGGGCTTTTCTCAGAGGTCCAGGGCCTTTGTCCCCTCTGATGATTTCCACCTGACCAGGTATGGCTGGCTCTCTTCTCAGGACCTGGAACCAAATACCTAGCGTTACAATTTCCACCCTAGAATTTTAAAACTGAGTTTAGCTTTCTTCTAGTTTGTTAGAGTCAGTTTGGACTGTAGAGGGGAGAGATCAGGGGTAATTGTGGAAGGAAATTTTCAGATCATAAAAAACCCCCAAACCCTCCCATTTTATAAGAGAAAAACTGAGATGCAGAGAAGAAAAGGGACGTGCCCAAGATCACAGGGCCAGTAGGAAATAGAGCAGGGCTGGAACCCAAGGCGTCTCCTCTGTAACAGGACTCTTTCTACTCTTTAAGGAAGTCCCTGCCTACTACTCTCCTTACTCTTTGATCCTCTTTTCTGGTGAGCATCCTGAGTATCTTGGAGAAAAGCCATGTCCTTTGTACTCATGAGCATCACTTTCTTTTTTTAAAATTTTTTTTAATTACTAATTTTTTGTGTGTCAAATCAGATCTGACTGGTACAGGAGGAGATAGCCCCTCCTTCTCCAGCAGAGCATCTGGTGGATTCGAACCGCGTACCTCTGGGATTGCAGTACAGCTTCTTGCCAGGAGCATCACCTTCTTTAAAATAAGAGGAGAGGCAGTGCCCACTGCCTGGAGTAGAGACGTGGGAGTTAGCTACGCACTGAGTTCAGGTTCTTTATAAACTAGGTCACTTTCTCCGTATTTCCAAGGCTTTCGTTGCAAAATGCAGGAGGCTGGGGTAAGTAAGGAGCCCTGGTTGCAAAGTAATGAAAAGTACTTGACCATTAATTGGAAAGTCATCAGTCACTTTCCTCAGGGAAGACGCGTCAATCTGCTTCCATAACAATTTACATCCTTGGAAAACCCTAGTAGGCACTTCTGTCCTGTCTTAAATGGTCACAGTGAGTTGGAATCAACAATAATAGGTTGTTTTGGGGGGTGTTTTAAAAAATGTTTTTGGTTTGGGATGAATAAACTGTCAAAAGTGGACTTGGACAAGCTAGTCAAGGTTTAAGCCTCAGTTTCTCCATCTGTGAGATGGGAATAATAGTAACACTTTCCCAATTATGTACTTTTCTGGTTTATTGTTTTCTTCTCTCATCCTTTTACTATTTCCAAAAATAACTTTTTTCTTTATTAAGAGTTTAAATTAGGAAATGACTAGAATGTGGTAAAGCACAGTGAGTGCTTGGCTCTCATTAAACGTTCAAAAAACGATGACCAGCTGTGGTTAATGTTTGCTTGCTCACGTCCTTGGTTGAATCCTTCATCAATATTCATTGCCCTTGTTCATGTTTGGGTTCAGTGGCCAGTCTGGGGATACCCATTGGGGTGGGCTTCCTGGGCCTCCTCTGTCCACAGGGTGGGGCTGGTGGGTCAGTTCCAGCTCCCAGGGAGGGAGGGAGACCAGGGAGAGGCTGAAGAAGCTCACTGCCCTTCCCAGCACCCCTCGCCTCCCACGGCTCCCCCAATTCCCCCAAATTCCTGCACTGCTCCTGCCACCCACCACTGAACCATGACTCCAATGTCAGCATCCTTGGGCCAGGATTTCATCCTTACAGGACAGAGAGGCTTGCATTCGGACATCAGCTTGAGGGTCCTAGCCCCTTGGGCCTGGGCTGACAGGGTATTTGCAGACTGGCCAGCTCTGACTCACAACCACCTCCTCTCGGCTGGCATGGAGTTCCGGGGGCCCAGTGATGCCTCTGAGCAGCAGCAGCTGTCTGTATGCCCAGGAGGAATGAGGGTGCTGGAGACCCCGTGAAGGGGTGGAGAACCTGAGGTTGGCTTCTAGGGAGGAATCACTAGTCCAGAGGGCTCCCTAGCAGCTAACTTTGAGGGTTCACAAGAATGCTCTCAAAAGACCCAGGCCTTTTCGAGCACTGGCATTGGCTGGGTCAGGCCATGCCCATGATCTTCACCAACCAGAGCCCCACTCCAGACCCGGACTTGGCGCTTCTCCCAGTAACATGCAGACTCTCCTCTTTCCCTCCCTCCTTAGTCATGCTCTCCTTTTCTTACTCATTATTTCCTTCCTTCATCCTGCCTCTAGTTGCAGACATAACTTTTTATTTTGGAATTTGGTACTGTGAAAATTATTTTAATGCTGAATTTGTTCATCTTGATGGCTGAGTGCCACAGGAAACCCTGGTCTGTTGGCATATCCAGATTTCCTGAGCCTAAGAACTTATTCTTTCCACGGGAAGGTATTGATGGCAATGCCCCGCTTGCCACTGACCCACTCTGTGAGTTGGGCAGGTCCCTCCATGTCTGGCCTCTCCCTGGGAGACTGGCTGATGCCTCTCTAGCCCTGTGCTTGTGAGAAGCAGCAGGAACATGGGCAAAATAGGTTTCTAGGAACTGATGACAGACTTCCTCATCCCCATTGGCATCCAGACCACTGTTCTGAGAGGCATCTCTTGTCAGGAACAGTAGTGGGTAGGTTAGGACATGCTACTTTTCGGGACTCCTTTATCCCCTCACCCTTCTGCCTTGGAGAGTGTTCATTGGAGGATGCAGCCATTCACCTCTACTTCTGATCCCTGTGGAGTTCCTCATCACACCCTGCCAGCGCCCGCAGATAAATTAGCAGCATCCAAATATCATGGAGATTAGAGAGTAGACCAAACTTCATCCACTAAGACCCAACTAATCCACTACAGTCAATTATGACTCATAGCAGCAACTTTATAAGACTTTTATGAAAATGTTTCAATGTTCCTAAGGTTGTAAATTTTAATAAAAGTGGACTACTTCATTTTTCTTACATGGATCAACTGGTGGGTCTGAACCACTGACTTAGTGAAGCACTTAATCACTTGCAGCAGATCTCACAACTTTCTCCTCTCAGGGTTCACAGGGCTTGGACCCAGGGATCCTGACTCCCTCCTCTGCACTCTCTACGAAGGAGAATGGGTGATCTGCTTTCCCTTCTGCTCTCAGACTTGTGAGGTTGCTGTCTCTGGGAAATCCATTGAAGAGGTGAGATTAGTGTCCCTCTGCCCAGCCAGCTTCACTGTTTGACTTTTCTCTAGGCCTGGAAAGCTCCCCTGGCTCACTTATCCCTTTATTCCGGCCAATTGAGGATACAGACTCTGACTTAAAGATGCTGGCCGCATGCTGGCTTCCTCCACCTGGCGGGGAGAGAGTATGTGTGTGTACATGTGTGTTTATGGGTGGAACTGGAAGATTATGACTAGGAACCACTAGGAAGCTCAATAGCTCACTGACCAGAAAAGACCTCAGCCTGAGGCCCCAAAAGTCAAGTCTCTTCATCCTACTATTCTCAGCTTCCTGCTCAGCTCAGCATTTCTAGGGCAAACAGCCAACTCCCCCTAGGAAACTCCAAGTTGACCTGGAGAAACAACCAGAGAATGATGATATCCTGTTTGGAGAGATGCCCTAGGTGAGCAGACCTTAATATTCTAACATTCCAGGGACCATCAATTAGTTTGTCAGTTTGTTGAGAATCCTGGAAGAAAATAAGGGGCTTATTTTAAAGATACATGGATGTGACAGCTCAGAACATCTCAGTACCTTAACCTCTTGTCACTGGCCTGCAGTTAGCTTTGGTTTGCTATGGTCTAATCTGAACTCATGGCATCCTAATTTTTTTTTCAGTCTCACTGCAAATTGGCAAGTTCTCTCCACATTTCCTGGCTCAAATTCTTGATGTCTCCGGTCACCCTAGGGGTTGGCCTCCCTTCAGTTACGTGCCCACGCTAGTAAAAAAAAGCTGTTAGGTGTCACACAGTTCACATGTCCCCTTGCTGCACAGTTGAAGCTTCCACAGGCCGAGTTATTCAAGACTGGAATGCAGAGGAACAGATTAGTCACTGAGAATCACATCGGAGAAAGAAAAATGCTTTATTAATAGCTAATATTCCTGGATGAAAAGAAGAGCATATGACTGTGGTCAGAGTGTAGTGTAGATCTTCAGGGACTGTGTTTAAAAAACTAGTGCTCTGAGACCTGTCTTTAAGCCAGAACCTCCTTCAGGCCTGCCCTTGCCACCTCACTAGGCAAAAGAGCCATGGTTTCAAGGACATTCCACTAGGCATCTGGATTGGTCCCTCCCCTTCAGACCATAGGATATTGCTATTCAGGAAGATTTTGTCTGGTTTGAGGCAAAACACAGAACCAAATTAGCGTCTGTCTCCAGGCTCCCTGTTTGGAAGGTCCCTGTGGAACATTTGGGCCCCAGCACACATTCCAGGAGGCAGCAGCACAGCTGCAGCCACAGCTGTGGGGACAGGCCTGAGCCCCCACCCGAGTGAGGGGGGCGGGTGGAGGCTGAGAGCTTCTTCTGAAGGCTGAGACTGAGCTCACCCTCACTCCCCACCCCCGCACACACTGACTTCATCCATCAAAGGCCACTTGGCCAAGAGCCCAGGCAGTGTGGGGGGCTCTCTGCAGAGCAGGCCCTAGGCCACTAACAGGTGGGGGAGGGGTGAACCACAGGCCTTACCCAGATCCCTAGAAACCAGGGGTGGCACACTGAGCCCTGAAAAGCCAAGGAACTTCAAGAAAAAAGGTAGGGTGAGGGGAGAAATAAGGGGTGGTGGTGATAGTGGTATTTTAATATTTAAAGGTAGAAAAATTCTAGGAAGCATTTCTGTTTCTTTCCATTTGTTCTTTGGCAATCCCATTGGAGAATTCCAGGCAGCATGCAGGATGACATCATGTCTTAGAGCTAAGAAATCCCAGCAATACTGTGAAATGGAACCCTGGCACCCTTGTTTCTAATGGAAGCAGCTTTATATCTGTGTGGTTAAAGCTGTGTTTTATGTCACATTTCAATGAGGGTTTAATACTCAATTTCTACCAAAAGTAGAGTACACTGCAGAATGATCACATGATATCAGCTTCACTTCTCAGCATCC